CTATATAATAATAATATATATATATATATATATATATTTTTTTTTAATCAAATGTCTTTTATCAGAATTACAATTAAAATAAATTTTTATATTATTTAGATATGTAAAATTTAATATTCTGTATGATATTATAAATCAAATTTCTATTATTTATTAATAATATATTATAAATATTAATTTTTACATAATAAATAAACAATACAAGATTTTAAATTTATTTTACGTATAGATATTTGAAACTAACTTTTTAATTGAATTGAATGCAATTCTATTCTTGTTTTATAAACTTATAGATCAAATGTTAGATGTGCGAAGATGAGCGAAACAATTATATTCTTTCTTATTTATATATGTACATATATATATATAATGTAAACAAAATTATTTTTCTTTACCCCATTCTTCTGAAACATATTTTAATAAATCTGTAAGATTTTCAAATTCAGTTCTACTTTGAGGAGGATCATTTTTTGGTATTTTTGGTAAAATATTTCCAGCTTTTAATCGAAACTCTTTAGCATTAGTAGCTCCAGATAGTTTCCAAATTCCATAAAAAAGTATACTACAACCACTAACTGCCCATGCAGAACCCCATAATAAAGCTCTTGTAGCAAGTGCTGCACCAGATTCTTGAAGACCTTTTCCTCCCATAAATCCAATATCAAAATGTTTACTATCCTGTTTCTTAACTGATGCTAAAGCATTAAAAAAACCAATCATAGCAGAAATTCCTGCTATTCCAGTCAAGAATAATGTTTCTGAAATAAAAATTCATAATATTGGTATTATTAAAACAAAGTAACATTATAAATATTAAAATATATTATATCATTACAGTTAAAAAAGTATAGATTATATATAATTTCATATTTTACTATAGATTATTACATAAATTAAATTCATATCTTTTATTCTATATGAACTGTGAATTTAAATTTATTTTATATTTTTTTAATAAATTAAAAATTTTATATAAATTTCTTATTTTATTATATACATTTATAATTATAATAAAACAACAATAAAATAAATAAATATAAATAATAAAAATATATATTCAACATATATATTCTTTTCAATTTATATAATTTTAAATGAAATTATTAAATTACGAAATAAAATTAATTTAAACACATACTTACCATATAACATTTCTTTTCTTTTCTTTGTATCTGGCTTTCTATTTACTTCTGACATGATTATTGTTTTAAATTATATTATTTTTCATTTAATTGTTAATACATTGTATTATCGAAAAAATAACACTTGGAAAAATCTTTAGAAAAAATTCAAATAATACAAAATGTTAAACTTTGTTATACTGTTTCTTCACTGTTTACCATATGAATTTTTTAAAAATATATAAAATTTTTATTAAATAATTTATTAATAATTATTATTTTTTATATTTAAATAATAATAATTCGTAACCTTACATCTCTTCATAAAAAATTAAAGTAAAATTTCAAAAAAGAATATTAAAATTTTTTATCCTTTTTTTATGCATTTCATAAATTCAATATGTAAATCATTTTTAATGTGTAAAATTCGAAAATAGCGATCATAATTATTAAAATTCAATGATTCAAAAGTAATTTTCATTCAAGATTGTAATTTGGATATTTTTACGAGTTACATGATGCCATGTTGAACTTTTATCCAATCCAATATAATTGGATAATAAAAGCACCAGTCCGCCAAATTCAAATTATTTGGAATAGAAAATTTATATGTATTATAATTTAAAAATTCAAATTGAATAATATATTAATTTAACATTCGTGAGATGATTAAATAATGAGCATTTTCAATAACAATTAATGATCAACTTCAGAGATTTAGATTTTACTTTATGTAAATATCAAAATTGAAAAAAATAATAGTTTCAATATATTAATCTATATATATAAATAGAATACATCGATTTTTTCAAAACATCGATGTATTGTTTTCATTCTTATTTAATGTATAATTATAATTATATACAATATATAATTATAATAATACAATATATAATTATTGCACAATTCGTACAAAAATGCAATAAAAATGATTACAAATATCAAAATCAATGAACTATACGAAAATTTAATTGATTATTTCCGAAATATTCTATTTCTTGCAATAAGTTGATAAAAGAGAGATAATTATATTAATCTATGAAATATAAATATATTAATATGTAATAAAAACGATAATAAATTTATTATTTCATTTTAATATGTAATATATTCTCGAATATGATTTTTTTGTAATATTATAATAATATTATAATCATATGTACTTAGAGAGCAATAAATATAGAGCGATAAAATGGAAGTATTAAAAAATGATTTAAAATATAATAATAGAATATTTAAACATATAAATATATAAAATAAAGTGAAATTTCGAAACATATTAAGCATTTTTATGACTTTAAACACTTTTTTTATAATCTTATTTTCTATATTTTTCGTTTTTTTATATAGAATAATATCAAAAATTATTTTACAAAAAATATTATAAATAGCAATACTGTTTAAAACAATTGCATTTTACAATATACAATATATACAATGTATACATAAAAACGAACATTTTTCTTTTTTAATTTTCTTTGGAATAGAAATAGTTTGATTCAAATATAATATCATATTAATATTATATAAATATATATATATTAAGTTTTATGAAATTATATTTATATATATATAAGTATATATATAAATATATATAATCTTTATAGAATTTGCAATGTAATTATGTATATGTAAATACATATCTCTAATAAATTAATTATTTTAATTAGTACACAAGTATATAAATAGTTTATGATCAGTCCACTAATTAAAAAAGGCGCCACAATCTGAGCTGCCACGTAATGTTGTGTGTCGCGTTGATGAAGTATAATATTTTCGAGGATAATAAACTACGAATTATTCTGTAAAAAGTGTAATGTACATTTCATTGTGCAGTGTCGAATAAAGTTTTTATCATATATTCTGTGTTAATCTCGTCCAAAAGGTGAGAAATTTTTTTTATTATTGAAAAGATAAATAAAACCATAGACTTCATGATATTTCTACTTGAATATGACGTTTTAACCTTTTCGGATTTCTTTCTAGTCTTTTAATATTTGTACAATTAATTAATTAAATTAGTTTTTTGAAAATCAATATTAATATATATTAATATAAATATTTACATTTAATTTTGAAATATGTATCTATTACTTTTCAATTATTGATAACTATTAATATTCAAATAGTTTTCAATAATTAATAAAGAATATTAATAATATTTTTAATATTCAATATTAGTTATATTAATAAAGAATATATATTATATCTTTAAATTGAAATTTTTTTATATTTTAAAGATATTTTTTAAATACTACAGTTAATAAAATTTTAAAAAAATAAAATATATTTAATATACATTATATAATTAATAAACATTATAATTATTATACATTATATAATAATTAAATATATATTATATATAATGTTTTTATTTTTTTTTTGTATTAAGTATATACATACTTTTTATTTCTTTTATTTTAAATTTTTTATTTATAATATTGATTTCATTTTCTTCACTTCATTTTTATATATTAGAAATATATAGAATATATTTTTATATATTCTAAAATTTGTTTAAAATAATAATTAAAAAAAAAAGAATATTTAATCTTTTTTTTTAGTATCTAAGTCAGCTATCAAATCCAATGAGTATGCCACCAGATTCTATGAATAAACGATATTCAGAATCATATTCTGATCAAATGAATCATATAAATAATCAAATGAATATGATGTCTACAACACAACTTGGTTATAATAAACTATGGGTAAGTAATAAACATGAATATTTTAAAGCAGTTTTACATTTTATATATAAAATTATATATAAAATGTATTTTATAATTATATATTAATGTAATTTATAATATTAAATTTGTCCAAAAAAATTAATATATTTTATATATTGTCTTTTATATAATAATTCAAATGAATCACGTTTATTATAATATTGCATTTATATAAGATATATATTATACATATATATATATATATATTTTCGAAGTCTTATGAAAATTTCTTATTAAAGCTTGAGTTATTATAGTTTTTCAAAAATTAAAATATATTGTTTAATATGAAAATTATGATTATTTGGATTAATGATTTTTTATGTTTAAGTTGAATTTAATTGTTATAAATTTTCCATTGTAAAAAATTATCAAATTGATATAATTAATATACAGATATAATACAGAATATTTATGAGACTTTGAAAAGACAATTTTTCGGGAGACCAAAATAAATACAAAAATTGATATATAAAGTTGATATCAATTAAAGCTTATTTATTAGTTATAAGTAGACTGCAGATATTTATGTAAAATTTGAATCTACAAAAACATACAAAATGCACATAACAAAAAGATACAAAATATTTAAATTAGAATATACATTATTATATTTGAGAAATAAAAAAATCTTTAAGCTTTATTCTTTAATTATATTTATAGCAATTGAATTTTGCAGAAAATTCTGTGATTTAGTTACAAGCAATTTACATTAGATAAAACAAAATAGAGACAGAATAGTTTCATTCTATCTCCATATTTATCTAATGCAAATTAAAATTGTTTATAACTTAAATATAAATAAGATTTTTTTTCAATCTTTTTTGTATAATAATTTTTATATTATTGCATTGTTTTGTTAATAAATTATGATAAATAAAAAAAAAGTAGAAAAATTAGAAAATTAATTTAAAAGAAATTATTGAATTACAATCTTTTTATCTACTAATTATAATTATGAAGTATAATTATTTTTATTTTTATTTTTTTTATTTAATTTTTACTTAATTTTGCGTACAGTCGTTTGCATTAATATTCTAACATTTTAATATGCAAAAGATTATTGTTGTATATATTTGTTATAGATATAATGAATTGATCTTTTTTTTAAGTATTTCTGTAATAAATAGAAAAATTTAATATATTTAATACATATAATATATAATAAAGTACACGTATATATAAATTATACAATATATAATATAAATATACAATATAAATTATACAATATATTTATTAAATATGTATATTGTAAATGTATTTCAATATATATTTTAATATTTTTTGTGATTCGCGATCATATTTCTGTTCGAAAATGGCGCTTGAATTAACTGAACTGCCACGTAATGTTATATAGTACGTCGATAAAGTATTTTTCTAATAATAAATGTGAAATTATTATTGTGAATTATTGTGAAAAATGCAATATGTATTGTGTAATGAAGTTTAAATTTTTCTTTATATTTGTGTAATAATTTTATTTAAAAAGTGAAATTTTTTCCATGTTAAAAAAATCCAAGAAAATTTTGGGCTTTATAATACAAACTTTTCTGTCTTTTCTTGATTTGTTTTTGATTTTTGATAAATCATTAATTAAATTTGAAATTTAATTAAATTAATTTTTGAATATTGAAATATCAATATTATCAATTAGTTTTTTTTCATATTGTATAAGTATGTCATTAACTTTATTTTTTCAGTTATTAAAAACTGTTTGGTAATTGACAAGGGATATTGTTTCAATTTTATTTTTATAAATTGATTCAAATTTTATTAAATTTTGAAGATATTTTTTAAATACTGTATTTAATAAAAGATTATATAAAAGAAATATTTAATATCTTTGTTTTTTTTTGTAAATAT